CCCCTCCCCGTCCGGCGGGGCCCCGCTCCGCCCCGGAGTTTGGCCCCGAACAAAGGAGAGCCCCCCGGCGGGGCGCGGGCCCGCGGAGGAGAAGGAGCGGCGGCTTTGCTTCGGCTGAAAAAAGGAAGACGGGAACGCTTCCCGCCCTCCCGGGAAGGGGAACGCCTGCTTCGGGAGGGGATCACGGACCTTGCTGCGAAGGCGTTCGTTTCGGACCCATCCTCCCGCAGATAGTTATGTTACTATCGGGGAAATGCCTCTGTTTACGCGGTGCGAGGCTGGAGAAGGAGGTGCGCGGGGAGAAAGGGAAAAGGTTAGAGGTCACCCTGAAAGGGTGACGGGGGACCTGGTTTAGAGGAGAGCCTGTAATAATGTTGTAACCCAATACAAAAGAGGCAGATGCACCTGGCCTGCTTGCTTTTCAGAGCGTTAAAAAAAAAAAAAAAAAAGCCACATACCGACGTTGAAGTAGCACACAGAGCAATGGCACAACAAAGGGCATCCCGACTTGGTCTGAAGAAAGAGCCTTGATAGAAACAAACTTAACATTTATTAACGGAATAAATTCTTCCCAGTTACAAAGATAGGGAGCAACTGCTTGATCATGTGTTTGGTTTGGATTTACTATGGTAATAGCAGGTTTATTATTTCAGTTTCTGCCATTAAATCAAACCTGCAAGTAGAAACACACACACCAGCAGCCAGTGCTTAAGAAACCGGACCAAAGACATAGACAGGTTATGAAAGCAACTACAGGTACAGACTCAGAAACACAGGGTCCTAAGCCGGGAAAGGCTTTTTTGCATTTTTTAACTTTATCACTGCAGATGAAACCTTGATCCCTTTAACTCTGCTGCAAAAGTCCGGTCGACACCAGTGAAGGCACATGTTGAACAACATCTCAGCATCTCTGCACAAGTAGTTGGCCTTTTATTTGCCCACCTCCACGGGCAGATGCTAATTTCAAGGACCACATCATTCCCTGCACTCCCAGAAGAAACTCTGGGCCTTGGAGACAAGTAGAAACGTCCGCACGTGTGTATGCACGACAGCCTCAGGAGCCGTCAGTCAGGCTGCCTGTGCCCCCAGGCCTGCGTCCAGGCTTGCAAAATTGCCATGAGGGAAGGCAAAGGGGAGCTTGTTCATCTGCAGGGGGGATTAAAAAGAGATCTGGTTTGACTCGCCCTCTCAGCTCCTCAAATTTAGTCATAGCAAAGTCTGAGGCTTGAATTTCCTCTTGGAGTGTAAAATATGTGTTTAAAAAGTATGTGGTGTAATAAAAACCTTACCCAGCTGGTTGGGAACAAAATACGCTGGCTTTCTCTGTGGGACCGTACCTAGCAGCGATGATGGATGTGGAAGTGGTACATCCTGGGGTATCCAAGTGGAGTGAGATGGGCCAGAGTGATGCAAAGGAACCACTGACACGGAGGAAGTCTAGTTCATATTTTTCCCCTTCAACACAAAATTTTCTAATCTCTGTATTTTATTCTGGGAATAAGTTTTCCGATCACCTCCAATGTGTTTTAGAATTGATAATTACACAGAACAGCTTTAAAAACATTTCCTATGCTTTCCAGGAAAAACCATCGATATGTTGAATATTCCTATGCATGCTATAAGGCTATCAATTAAATAACTTTAATTTTTTAGCCCCAAGTCACAGTCTACATGAGATGACCTTGCACTTCTTTTTTAAATAGTAAAAATACTACAAATACTTTCTCAGGACAGCAAATGCTGACATCCCCACGAACTCACAAGCACTTACATACATTCCCACGTGATCTGTCTTCCAACCTTCCAATGTCGGTGTGAAGGTACCTCCTATGCAGATACCTTAGCTGGCAGAGCATCACCCACCTCCCCGTTCTGCTGGCAAGCCCCTCATGCTCTTGCACTGGGAGAGGCAGCCAGTGCCAATGCCCAGGCAAGGATTGGCTGCCAGCAGGATGGGGGGGGTGTGTGTGTGTGTGTGTGTGTGTGTGTCAGCGTTAATTACCTCTTGGTGTTACCAGTATAAATCAGCTTAAACCTGGTGGCAAAAATTCACCTCTGGCTGAAAGTTGGCAAAGGCAGTCTGGTTACTGACCTGAAACATTGTTATTTTTATCAAATTATCTACACCCCAGTGTCTGTTGAGTTATTTGCTGTTTTACCGAAGCACTATAGCCAGCTTCGACACCTTCCTAAACAGGGAAGGAGACCAGTAAAGGAGGAAAAGAGACAGCAAAGAGGAGGGCTGTGGTTTCATGCTATAAATGTGCAGTCGCAGTGTTTTGCCCTGCACGTGGAAAAGTTACGCTAGAGAAAAAAATAGAATGGCTGGAGGAAAAGAGCAAAGTAACAACCTGCCCTGTGTCTCCACATGCAGCTGCTGCAAAACACTGAAACTGCTAATTCAAACTAAAATATGCGTATGTACTTAAAATGAGGAAGATGGATTTCACGCGTTAGCTGAGCAAAGTGTGTGCTGCCGTATCTAGAATTTCCCACCAGTCTCAAAATACTACCTAAGAGGTCAAAACCACCCCCCCATTTTGCAGACCGAGAACTGTGCTGGGAGAGGGGAAGAGATTTGTTCACCCCTCCCCGGGCTGGCTCTGTGCTTGCACCACCCAACCCTGAAGGTGCACATTTTCCAGACGACCACAGGAACAATGCATGGATTTTCACCCGAAGCTCATATACAGTCAAAAAGGTTTGTCAGGAAAGTAGCTTTTACTTTGGGTCCCACTACACGGCCGCTGGGAATTTCATCCCCTTCTCTCCTGCCACCTTCTTAAGATTTAGGAAGAAACCAAAATCTCTTTTCACGGCTTGCATCAACAAGGGCAGTGTTAAACCCTTAGGGGTGGGTGGTGACAATAACTGCATTCCTAATCTTGGGCAACTCCAAAAGGGGTTAGTCAAACTATCGTATTATCATTATACCAGCTTGATGTCATGGATGACTAGCAAGAATTTCTTAATAAAATCATGCCCAGGCAGCAGTCTGGGATCAGCACTGCCTGCTTACAAGTTTCCTGGTGGGCTTTGAGGGGTTGGTACAGACCTGGAAATTTAAGAATACTACTACAGCCCATAGTATCACACAGAGTTATTTCCTAGAATAAACAAGCCCTCGGTGGGGCTGAGGCCTAAGGCGAGAATTTGCCCCTGCAGTGGCTCATACAAAAATTACAGAAAAAGTTTGTTGTTACGCCCTGCAAGAATCACGGTAAGCCACAACACTGCAAAACACAGCTCAGCGCCAAACTGCCCTCAGTTACTCATCTATAAACCCATTAAAAAAAAAAACCAACCAAACCAACTTGGTGGCCTCGCAGTGCCGCGAGGATGGATGTCAGCGGGAGGTGGCTGGACAACCCTCACAGCTCTGGGGATGGCCAAGTGACTTTATTTGGGTACTGAAACGTAGCAGCATGAGGAGAGCTGCAGAGAACATGAAAAGGGATTGAGGGCTTTGTTCTTGCACTCTTCCCCAAAAGGAAGCCGGGTAAGGAACTGCTTCCAGATGGCTGGCATTGATTTATTCCTTTGTTGTTTTTTTCCTTACATAGTGTCTATTCTCCCCACAATCCCCCTGCTTAATTGTCTCTCGTGGGAGCCGGATAAACAGCAACGGGCTTAAGAAGCAAGAGCTGGCTTTCTGAGATGCTCTGATGTCCTGCTCAGCTGTTAGAACTGTACATTAGCAAAACTTCGTGACTTAAAATCTAGAAATGTATGTATTTTAAGTTTAAGCTGGAAAAACTACAGTACTGAATTGAAATATTACCTTATTAAAAATAAAACTGAAATTCGAAGCCTTCTTTGCAACAGTAGGAAACACATGCAGGTTTGTCCAAGATGAATGGGTTGTAGCCAAGGCACTCCTGAGTGCATTTGTTAGCATCAGTTTTATCCTCAAGTTCTATAGTCTCCCTTTTGGTATACATAACATCCCCATATATACATCTCAGCAGCTTACCTCTATGAGGCAGGGGATATTTGTAGGCCAGAGGAGGCACAGGGAAGACGAGAGCCCAGCTGAAACCAGGTAGCATCTACTCTCACTTAGGGGAGAGTTCAGCAGGCCAACAAATCTGTATTGACATCTCTAAGGGGAATGATATTAAGTAGGTACTATGGATGCATGTAACTTCATAGCCTGTTACAACCTGTTGAGAAATAAGTACATGTCTAAAACAAACAAGGAAGAAGTGAAATTCAGAAAGGGAAAATCAGAGCAAAGATCAGGAAAAAATGCAGAACAAGTGTGTCATTTTTCCTGGTCTAACAACTACCCCAATGATGAAGGGCCCATGTTGCATGGCACATTTATATTTTAGATACCATAAACCCCACTGGCACCATAGGGAACAGCTCACATTAGGCTGTGAGCTCTACGTGACATTATTAAAAGTCACCTTTACCCTTTCAGTTTGCATGTTCTGCCAGACCCTTCGGACTGGCAACCTGCGACAGTGTTCAGAGAAGACGCATGCTCATCCTGTGCTTGCTGGGCTCCCCATCGTCTTACTGGTTCAGGCTGCCCACCTGCCCAGTGGGCTGCTGTTTATAAACCACGTACTACGTTTTATGCTCTGCTCCTGCACATTCCAACTGAAAAAAAAAGTGCAAGCATGACCATATCTATCCAGACCGTTCCTAAGAAGAAAACTAGCTGAGATAAAAATACTTCTTCAGAACAG